GAATAGAATTGCGTGACAATTACGGTACAGTATACGAAACTTTGAACACCCGTCCTCCCTCTACATATGGGGGTGTCTCTTATTTATGCTTTCAAGAAGACATTCTATGCAAGGATTCATACGGCATTATAAAGAAAAAGATTGATTCATCGAGGTCATCACACAGGAAATAGATAATGGTAGCGCAATCCGACTTGCGGTCTAAAAATACTGTGGATCGGATTTCGGGACCTTGTGTGCGACGCATAATTATTCGACCAAGAACGGTACAAGCCAGGCGTGCACATGGTTGTTTAATGAGTGCTCGGGTGACCAGACCTGTGAAGGCTCCGCGCTCGCTAACGGGGTGGAAAAGTTGGAAAATTCCAGGATTTTGAACGGATGCCGATCTTGGACGAGCAACAAGGATGCTGGTATTCCGTGAGTGGGTGGATATATGCACAGAGGATGCCAGAGCTGTGGTGCGAAGTACGAACAACGAGCACTATGTATGTATATATACGACGACCTGTTACAAGGGATTCCGAATACACGGTAAGGAAATGAGACGAGGAACCTCGGTCTCGTTATCCAAAAAATTTCAACGTCCGGGAACCATAATGGTCATTTTGAAAGAGAAAGAATAAAACTCTGGATGGCAGCAGCCGACGACCATCAATTATCCCGCTCTCTTTTGCGGGCAACGGTGTCACGGTCAAAACAAAACCCCACATTCGAACTTCTCGCAATTTATATACTGTACCAGCTACTGCGATGGAAGCACCTTCATCTGAAGGCGCACATTTGCACTGTTGAATTGTGGCGTCTCCCTATCAGATAATTTTTAAAGTTTCACAGTATAAATGTGTACCGGTATTCCCCATCCTGCCACCAAAAAAAAATCGTATGATAATTTCACAATCCACACAGGCTATATTAGGTCAGGTATATCACGCTGCACGCTGGGAAAGTTACACAAGGCAGATTATTAAAAAGTGGTTCGTAGTCATGCACAGTTAACTGAAGGACATTCTCTCTACGTTAACCCTTCAACTCCTATCTGAAAAGAATGCGGCAACTTCTTCTCGTCTTCATATAACGTGTAATACTGTATCATATAATATCAGAAGAGAATTGGACGTAATTTAATTTACATTTCTTTATCTGACAGATGTAGCTTCGACTGCACGATGTTGACCAATATACTTCACAAAGCACCTTCATCGGCTCTATTCGAAAAGCTCTATATACTGTACAATAATAACTATTTCATGGCTACATAAGGCCGCCCAATACAAAATTTTGATGACGAAAAAGGTCGAATGAAAGACTTATTTACAAAATAGTGGAATTAATTTCCGTTTGTGCACGAATCACGCTGTATGCATGGTCTATGGTAGTATGGGAAGGCATAAAAAATGCTGAATAGCTCCCATCATGTCCTTGGAACAGCAAAGGAACTCGAAAACAGTTTGAAGGGGCTCCAACATAGAAATCAATTCCAAAAAGTGATGACACGATAAACCTCGAGAGCCTCTGACTCAAATTATCGATTAGATACTGCGATTTCAAAATCTTCTCCGAACTTGTTTTCATGTTTAGTTTCTATGATGATTCCCATCATCGTTTAAAAGGAAAAATACACACAGCAGAAGACGTTATACGACTTTACCATATTCTGCTTTAATCGTCACCTGTACTATTCACAGATTTGGATTCATCGGTCTGATTTATCCATCACTCGCTATTGAATAGAATATGTATCGAAAAAATTGGAAAATGTTCTCCTCGCGAGGGTTGACGGGGTTCGCGCAGAAGTAGTCCCAGTTTTTTAGTCCAATTTTTGTTCTTATTCTCCATTCAAAGCCACACGCAGTTCTGAGTGGCTTTAAATAATTTGTAATTTAAACAATGTTGAAAAAATATGTACACTGTATCCACTACGGATTAAAGTGATATTTTGGATTTGTGTGAGAAAATTCTTTTTCCAAGTCTTGCCTGAAATGGAAGAGGTGAAAATTGTTTTCCGAGCAAGGAATGATCAGGAGTTTGACACCGGCGAAGCCCAGAAGGTCGAAACGGTGTCCGTGGGACGACAGTTAATCGATCGCATCTTGATAATGCTAATAAGATCGGTTCGATTTGCAGCAGCCCAATCAGCGGCCGGAATCGTCCCCCGCTGCTGAGGGACGCGAGGCGCGGATGCTATATAGCGACCCGCTTGCAATCGCCGTCAGCAGCAAGCGCGGGCCACTGGGCAATAACTGCTTTCTGATTTCCAGTTCGGGACACAAGCTTAGGTTACTGTATAATATTTTCCTCCGACACCCATTCAGCAGCGGCCCGGGCCGGCATCCTTTCCGCCTCGACGACAAGCATTCGTCGTCGCGTAACTCGTCACCTAGCTGCTTGCGTGATGGTATTTTCTTCATTCGCACCGATGATGCGTTCGCCACCGGCGGATGACCGATTCGTCATCATGCGAGGGTCGATTCGGCTCTTGGTGATTTTGATCAGCAGCCTTTTGACCTTCACATGAGGTGTGCAAGACATAAGGTCAAGATTCCTAGAAGTCGACCATATAGACATAGTTCGTTCGTTCATTTATTCCGTTCTACCGATGCTTAATGTCAACCGTATCATGAACACATGGTACACATTTTTTTTTACAAACCAGGACTTCCGTATTAGATTTTCCGAGTGTCAAATGTAACTTTTTAGAACCCTGAGGTACTTCTACTCCATCATGCAGCGTACAGAGACATGTGATCACCTCAGGCCTTCCAAGAGAAAGACCTGCAAGTCTTCGTCTGTTTTTTTTTTTCTTCTGCTCACAGGAGTGAACAGGTTGTTTGACACTGCGAAGAACATGAATGCGAGTTTGAACACTTTTGGCCGAATAGAAAGAATTTATTGCATGAATTTCCTTGATTTACAGGGGCACTTTAATACAGGTTCTGGTACCGCTTAAAATTATCCCTGCTGTATTGTACTTCCTTACGGGGAAAACGACATTCATCCAACAAACTTCGTTCAAGAACAGATCAAATGTGGTAGCCAACACCCCCCTACGTCAAAGTTTACTGATGCAGGTAAGTACTGTCCAGTATTTTCATACATGCACACACACATACACGAAAAATTTTAGAACACCTATACTGTATTAGCAAGGTTGACAGCTTATTCACAGAATAAATGTTGTTCTGGCCCTTTAACTAAATTCAGTACAGTATTCGATTTTGCTGAAACATCGCATGTGATTACATCAAGAGACTTTTTGAAGGCATGTGGACGATTGGAGGAAAAATTTTGACCATAAACTACTAAAAAAAGTAGCGTCTTTTCTCGAAATATCCAGATCTGCAGGAGTGATCTGATTTCATAGAAGCTGTACATCATTGAAGACGCTTGTCTGTGTTTAAAAAAATGGTGTCACATCATAAAATAATGTAGCAGGTTAAAAATATGTATGTGATAAAAATTAATTCTGATCATAATTCGACTTAACGAAAAATTTGGACCTACCAATTTCCATCTGCAAAAAATGCAATCCTGAAAAAAAGTACTGTACTTCCCGCAGAAACTGCCCATGGATGCTATGAACGGTGGTGTTGCTGGACTACAATGGGGCCTTGAGATGCAGGTTCGGAGAACTTATCAAAGAAGTTGCGCTTACCCCTTTCAAGATTAGTGCATAGGGCACTCACACCCATCACATAGAGGGTTAATTATATGTACAGTACAAATGATGAGGCTGATAGGATCAGACATCGACTATCTAATACCTTCAAAATGAAACCCAGGAGCTATGGTACATAGCTATATTGGTATATATATATTGTATATTGGTATTGACGAGAGTGGCGAAGTACTGTACAGTATTTCAAAGGGGCATTTTTTTCAAGACGGTCATATAATAAATTGACTCCGATCAACAAACTTCAACAGCCTTTGAATGAAAAAATTAAGAGCTTTTGATCAGAAAGATGCTCATATGGTTTCAGGCCGTAAAGAGATATTACATCGTATTCGTGAAGATCGGTCAATTGTATCCTGGTCCACACGGTGAATGAATGTGTTTTAAAATAATTCAATAATTGTTTCACGGGAAGTGTTGCCCGAACTCAGGTGAGGTGGCCGGTGGTCTGCATACAGTATTCGAGTCAAAATAACAGCCGCATAGGTCTCGGAATTTTCCAGGCAAGTGGTAGGAATATACAGTATGCTTTTTACGAGGACAGTTCGAAGAATCTGTGCGTCTAATGCTTTAATCAGCTATGTAAAGCGTAAGATATCCTTCACGGAGACCGCAGTCCTTATCGTGATCTGAAAAAGGCTCAGCAGGTAATGCTGGATTTGATAATGAAATATAAAGTTCGAAGAAAATGATCATGAAAAAGTTGTCATGGTGCACTACATTGACAAAAACCATCGTTATTCTCACGCCGACGTAAATACACTACAACCTAAATTAGAATTCGAACTAAATACCTGACCTGCAAAATCGGTTCCGATACCAAAATTCGTAATCGGACATCGTGATCTTCCTTAGAAAAGTCGCAAATTTTCAGAGAGAAGACATGGGAGTAAACTGCTCAGTTACGAAGAGTGGAACCAAGAAGTTTCAGAATATTTTCCGAAATTATGACTGATGATCCAACTTCACACAAACCGTGTTGAACGAAAACAAAAGCTGGAACAGGGTTTTCCGCAATCTAAAAAATAAACATTTTACTTCATAAAGCATTGCCATTCGAATCTAGCGGGACCACAGGGGTCAATTTCTGTCTAGTGGACTTCACCTGTTGCACGCCTGCAGGGCAAATAGATCAAATGCCTCAAGATAACACGTTTTACCCTTTACCTACACTCAAATCAGAAAGATGCAGAAGTATTGGGGATTCTCCAATTGCTAAGATTACTATCTTGCCTTCCTGACGCGAGTTTCCTTCGGATTCCGTCAAATAATTTGCTGCTCATCAGCCATAAAACTCACGAGCAATCCTAACCGCCAAGATAACTTGATGAAATGCGATTTTATTCGCAATTGTTCACATATCTATGTTCGCGACTATAGGAGCAAAAAAGTAAAATCCTCCAGTGTTTTTTTTCCTCGGGAACTCGTTCGAATACGCAACGAATTTTATCCACCACCCTTCTGCGATAAATAAAGTATTTCAGATAGCTTTGTAGAAGTTTCCTCTTATCACAGAAATAATCGACGTCAGTAATCTAGGAACCATCACAAAGCAGTCAATACTGCGTTTGGCCGGTAAAAATTTCACATCATTCCTTGCCGAGAAGCCCTTCGGTTACAACGAGCACAGTTTCCCTTGAACTTCATGTAGCACTCTCTGTGGAACACAGCACTACACATCGGACAAACGGACGATGTCTTGTCAAAAGGATACAGGATTTCATTTTTTCCGTCACAGAGTCCACAAAGATGCCCTTGTCCACGACAAACCTGGATATTGAAACATGCATCACACAGTGAAAAACGGTACTAAAACGCGAATGGAAATGGCAGTAATTCATGTGACGTACCTCACACTCCTCTTTTATGTGTTTCGCTAAAAGATCATGAACCCCAGTCGTCCAAGTCAGCAGGCTTCCGTCCTTCAGGTCAATCAAGTCTTGAACGGAGTACATGTCGCAATGGTCAACAAAGTGAAGGCGCTCGTCCAAAATTCTCAGAAGTCTTGTCTCCAGAGCAACTCGACACGCTTGGAGGTAATTCTTCATCATCTAGAGATAAATAGGGAACCTTCAACATTCGAATGTGAGCGCCGAAGAGTCCCTGATACCTCGCCACATTAGGATCGTTAACCCCGAAAAACATGAAGGGCCACGAAAAAGTAGCCCACCCCTTTCATTCGACATGACGAGATGAACCAACGAATAGGTCATACTCAATTACCTACAAGTAAACGCTGGTAGAAGAGGTCCCCCTTCAAGCCTAAGCACCTTCGGACACGTTGCAACTTGGCAAGAAAACCAAATACAGTACAGTATTTTACTGTAGAACCATTTCCTCTTATAACTCGTCTCCGATGGTGGGGACATAGAATGATACTGTAATGGAGATGTGACACGCACTACATACACAGTTATCAGATAACCAATAAGAAAAACGGATCGACCTGCTACATCCAAACGTAAATGCAGGTTATCCAACCCATTGAAAATTTAAACAAGATTCAACGTGAGTCAAAGAGGTGGGTGGTACCCGATAGGTTCCTTTTCAGTTCTTCAAACTTACAGCTACCGCAATTCCGGGGAACAACATATCGTACCGTACTTGTTAGAAATTATGGCTAATGGATTCATGGCATTAGCTGATCTATCAGAAGATTCCTAAAAAAAAGCCACAACACGACACTGCCGCCAACGGGCGAATATGGACACATCACTCATCCATCACAATGAGAAAACATTCGGCGCTACTGTTATCAAGTCGGAGAATCAATTTGTCTTTCTCACCCAGTCACCGTCAACTTAGCGAAGCTTGCAGAGCCTATTATTCCATAGCGGAATAATAAATTTGAAAATGACCACAAAATTGGTTCAAAATCAAATATACCAACACAGAACAGAGCTAATAACCAGGGAGACTACGCTCGAGTCATCGTCACACGGGGAAAAACTCGGAAAGCGGTTCGACAAAAGAAAAGATTAAAAAACGAAAGCAAAATTTAATGAATACAGCTTTTAAAAACATATGCGGAGAAACCGTAGATTTAAAACTACACGGAGATGCTTATTTGACATCGAGGAATCTCGGATATTGTGATGACCGAGAGCAGCTAGTTTGGCAAATCGGGGATCAACACGTCGCCGAAAATTTCCAACTGCAGTACATATAGACTTCGAAGTTTCAACACAGAGTACAGTACAGAAAATTGTCAAATGGGTTACGAAGCATCGGATTTTAAAGACTCAATTTCGCAAACCAATTAATGAATGACCTCGATAAAGTCTTACAATTTCGTAATTTTTTTATACTCGAGTAATCACTTCAGTCATACAGATGCAGACCTGCGCGTGTTTCGCACAGACATTCACAAGGCTCGATATTGAATTAGGATCTTACGGATAGATATTCGGAGGGATAGGCAAAAGTTGCGGCCTCTCCGATATCACTGATCAGGAAAATATATAATTTATTGTATAAGAATCATGAGTGGAGAAAAAAAACGATTAACATTCGTCACACAAAAAATCTCAACCAAATGCATTCGTTGTTCCCGAAATTATTTTCCAGTGCTTGGATAATCGAATAATCGACGATTTACAATATTAGGATAAAAGCAGCTCCAATGCCATTGATCGCATGAAAAATGGGACCGAGAAACACTTTCATTTGAATAAACGCAGAAAAGAGCTGAGAGGCTTTGATTCAAGTCTTACCAGCAATTCTTCTCGCAAACGCTTCAATTCATTCAATTCTTCGACATAGCAGAACAACATAGGGTTCAGCGCATGGAGAGCCAGGATAGGTCGCTTCTGCAGCATCTTCAGCAATTGCTTGGACGCCCGACAAACGAACTGAGGCGTGAAATCCCAGTTTCGCACAATACTAGGAAATTAAATGAGAAGTCCTTCAATACGTTACATGTTCCGCAGCTCCAATAGAACACGGATCATGCCATGTTCTTACCGAGCAGGAATCACCGCTAAATTATTCCAATGGCAATTGGCGCAATAATACAGTCCATTGTAATCACACAATCGGTATTTGCTCAGTGTGACGGGAACACGGCACTCACCACAACGGTACGCCTGCGCTGACAACCCCTTTTCTTGGCATATCTACAATAAAAACGATATTATTCAAAATGCACCGAACAACGGATGGAAAAATAACACACCTGAAGTAAATACGTCGGAAATTTGGATACCGATGGACAGCTCCTCTGAATCAGAGGAATACATGCGTGATGAGTTTTGTAATTGCAAAATTTGCACCGGTACCAATTTCCTGGTATGAGTGTCCAGATCATTCCAACACATTTGTCACATACGTGATGCGTCGTCAATGTAGGTCTTTGGGGTTCCAAATGGTGTCCAAGGTACTTTCGAATCCCAGGTGGAACCGGAGGTTCGTCCTTCAGTTCCTATCACAAGACGCTTTCCGTTCATCTGAATACTTGACATGATACGAGCACCCGTCTCACCTGAAGAGTAAAACGCAACTTCGTAAGCTTCCGAACCAATGTTAGCCGCTTGGCACTTCTCTCTTCGGTCTCGAAGATCATTTCCTTGCAACCGGCAATGGCGAGCTCTAGATCGCTAACGTTCATTCCGTAAGAGCCATCTGGTCTGAAAAAATTCCCCAATGCATTCTTACAAGTCCAGATGCAGAATTTGATATACTGTAGCATAAAGACAGGAAGCACTGAACAATAAGTTTACATTGTAGGAAGACACGGTCATCAAGAGCACTCTTGAACCGATACTGTTCACGTGAACGGCGGCAACTGATTTTCGAACCAGGCACATCATTGAGTGCCAAAACCCCTCAAACCGATCTCGATCAAGCCGTCATCATGAACACTTGAGGCCAAGAAATATTGTACTTCACAATCGTCATAGGTGTTGCCTTGTGGAATATCAGAAAACCCGTTTTCCGAAGAAGCGCAACGCTTTAAAGGCTGCGTTCATCATTATCGGTGAAGAGCCTGATAATAACGCGAATATACCTTGTACAATATTACGGAAAACAAGTTTCGATAAATGTTCAAGACTTTTTCTTAGCTTCGACGCTCCCAAAAACGAAGGACAGAGCATTTCACGGAGATATCCCTTCAGGAGACAGAGACAAAGTAACGAAAGAAGGAATTATTCTCGTACCTCAAAATCAAATACGCACGACATTTTCTCGACTTTTAAGAAAGGAAGACAGGAAAAATAAATGGCCATCAAAAAACATTTTCACGTACTTCGAAAAGTGGTCTTCAAAAATTCCAAGCTCAGCATTTACAGCTTGCTCCTCTTCATCTGAAACGTTTCCGTCTTCATCCACATGAAGACGAATCAAAGTAGATTCAATCAAATCCATGATCATATCAGCGCTTGAAAATTCTGCTCCGAAGACTCTTCACGAGCTTTCATATTTTCTCCAACACCCGTAGAACGTTGGATTTTCTTTCACTCCAGCAGTCATTAAACTTCAAACCTGAAATTGATTGTCGAACATCAATCCGCGAGAAGAGACGTGATCAACATAAGTTCCAGGCCGATGCAGGCCCAAAATAAAAGAATTACTTACCATACGCCGAATCCCTCGCGAAGAATACGAATCCTCTGCACACCGCATAAAGCGTTGAGCATTTATCACGAAAAATCACTGATCAACGTCTACGGACAGGAAGAGAAAGGGATTAATACCTGCCTGGAACGTGAATTGGAATTATTTCAGCAGAAAAATCAATGAAACAACAGACGCTGAGAATGAAATATTCCTTTGCTCTCACAAATTGAGAAATTTTACACACAGAGCCTACCAATTCACTCATAATACAGCAATGTCATAAATTAATATATATATTCTTGAATTAAACTTCAATTCAAAAATCTTGGTGTTTGACATCAGGCCCATCAAAACGCCTCCTCCAGGATATTGAAAATGATCCAAAGGTGCAGAGAGGGGGTTAGAGGCAACGCAATTCCATGCCAATGCTAATTGGATGTAATCAAAGCTCCCGCAGAATCGAGATTCAACACTGACAAAAAGACCAGAACTCCGAAACGTGCAAAGTCTATATCCTGTGCACTCGTGGCAATAGAAATTTCATCCAGGACAACACCCTTCCATCCCACAATTAGTTCTTGAGCAACATGACTTCAAGCAAAGAAAAATCGGCAAAGAATTTCACGAAGATCATACGACGGAGCCTCTGCTCTGAAATGGGAACAAGCAGGACCTGACATTACAAACCACCAAAAGAAGCTCATTCAAAATCATGGTTAACCCATTGGCAATGCGAACTATTGAGCAGGAAAGCCACTAAGAAGAAGGGTATTTATCATACAATGGACTGAAGGAACAACAGTTTGCAATTTTGAACTTCGCACGGAGAAAGTGAGAGAGGGAGAGAAAGGAAATTTTGAGAAACTTTCCAATGGATTGTCACAGGAACCCCAGTTTGGCATACAAAAGCTCCAACAGGATCTTCCATCAACCTTTCAAGAGTCGGCATTCCTGACAAGCCCACATACTCTCATTCGCAACAACGCCACAGTTACCCATTAGTAAAATACCCTGTGCAAGTTCAGATTCCTGCTTTCTTTCTCATCCACATAAGATTAGTTCCGCAGATTGATCCACCCCTGACGCAGGTGAATCAATTAATGCACAACTCCTGCCAGTTGACCTCATCGAAAAACCTCCAGATTCCATCAGTCCAGATCCAAGGGAAACCAAGAGACAGGACATCACAAATCAGAAGCGTCTCCCCAACTTCATTCTCACCCGTATTCTAGGAGCTACTCACACCCCAGTTTCACGAGAATGCCATCATGGTGAGTTGGGGATGCTCAAAAATGAAGGGAGTCAACACTGGACATTGCTTTGGTGGGAAAACTTGTTGCAGTGGGTTAAAAGCACTTCTTTTTTGGCATCAACGAGAATGCGGACAAGTTCTGCGTACCGCGATGTGTTTTCTTTCTTTTTTTCAAAAGAAGAAATGCAATGGTCGAGCGGGAACTCAACCCGTAACGAAGGACTAGAGAGATACAAGGTGAATTGTGCTTTTATCTGCAGGTGCAGCGAGTGTTTCATAGACGAAGAAAGACACAACAAACATGATAATGGCGCTTCAGATTTCAACAGACGAGGTTCATTTTGATTTCTTGCTGCGGTCTGTGGCAGCAACAGCACCAAAGGTCAAAACAAACTTCGTGCCTCCAGAATTTCCCACAGCGAAAAATTCCTTTGTAAGATAAAATCTCATTATTGTCAGTTTACAAACTACAGCAAATTGCACTGCAGAACTTTGATTCAAATCCAACACGAGAATGAGATGATCACCCTCCAACAAATAAATCACATCCCTGCCAACAGGGAGCAGCCAGACTTCGCTTGCAGATGCGCAACCCAACTCAACAAACTTTTGGTCACCAAAGTAAGCGTGGGAAGCAGTTTTGAGCTCCATAAAGCAAAATGACAACCAAGAGAATTATAATCCCTGAACTTGAATAATTCCTAATCGTCCCACTCACATGACAACCGCATAGTCGGGGGTTTTGAGATCCTGCGAACGTCAGATGGAGGTTACTCCAGTGTAAAGAGCGAGAATTTTACAACCATCCATAAAACAACCGTCAGGAAAATAACTCATCTCTGCTAAAACAATGGGATTTCAGAATTCGCGAACTATGTAACACTGCTGTGAAGGATCTGGGAGACTCAACCCCATTGAATCAACAATTCATCGCCCTCTCCGTAATCACAAAAACGTCCTACTTTGTTGAGTCAAAAACACGCCACTCGGTGAAACAGAAAATGAAACCACTGAAACGCTTCTAGTCACCACTTCGGCTCAATGCCAGTTGTAACCACATGGAGAACGAGCGGCATCACATTTCAGCAGTACCCCGGAAACAAATTAGTTGAAAGGGCAAACCCAACATCCAAGTGCGCAAACTTCCCGTTTCACAATAATGTAAAATGCAACTGAAAAAAATCTCGACCCATTGAAGCAGTAACACAGGATTGGGATCAAGTTTCCAAATACTGCTGAACATTTCTTTTAATCTCATGCCTTTGGTTCAGAGTCCACTCTCAAATACACAAAAGATCTGCCACACTAGCCTCAGGCCTGTCCACAGCACTACAAGCCTCCGACTCGGCAGCACTGGCCTACGCCGTTGGAGGAAACCCAAAAGAGAATACTCAAATTTCTTATTCTAGAGGTAAGTAGAAGTGAACTCATGCAAGCTAACCGCTCCAATCCAGTACAAATACTCTTCATCCACTTCAAGTTCCAATTTGTACTTCATGAACGCAAAATGTAGATTCGCTCTGGCGGCTTGAACCATTTCATTCCTTTCTTCCATCCCCTCTGCAACTCCCCGTCATTTTGATAAAACATGCTAAAAAAAATTTTGGATCCGAGAAAACTAAGGGCTTTGGTATAGAAGGTGGAACAACCACCGGTTTAAAAATGTAGAAGGCTTGAATTGCTCATACGACAACAAAAACATGAAAACGTTACAAAAACCCAGAACTGGAGTGAAAGGGCGCCGAAAGTTATGAGCCCAAGTAGCGAACATACCGCACGAAGAAAAGCAGCGCTTCCCAAAAATTAAAAACTCCCAAAACCCATTGGATTTTGTGGGTAGCCGGTTTGATACGGAGGATTGCACGGAAAAGCACCTGGATACGGATAGTGTGAGCCAGGCACATGGATCGGTGCAGGCGAGGAGTAGGGGAATGCCGATGGGTGCGTGTACGGAGGCGTGGACGAATACTGACCATATGAGTAGCCGGAGTGGCCCGGCGGGAACCCCATTTGGTTGGGTACCTGCCCACCTGGTCCCGCATTACCATGTGGATAGCCTGGTGGACCCCCACCCATGCCCATAATCCCGCCACCCATAGAAAGCGGCCGCGCGACGGAGTAGGCAGAACCCTGGGCCTGGGCGTAGTGAGGGCTTTCAGTGGCATATGGGCGGTGCAGGAATGGCGATACTTCTCCACCCGTCGGAGTGGCAGATGTTGGCGTTGGTGGGGCAGGTGGCACGGGCGAGGAATGCGTCAGCGCCGATACAGAAAAGTTCCCACTGCCGGAGTGCGGCGGGTAACCGCCGCTTGAGGGCACCATTTCCGCGTTGAAGCCCACACTCAGGTCTGGGTTCACTTGCCCACCAGGCGTTGCTGAATCTCTAATGTGAGCAATGCTCGGAATCTGGTCAACTAATGATACAAGCCCTGATAAACTCTTGGAAGACATGTCTTGCGGAGTCTCCTCTTTCAGCATGCGTGGGGCATAGTTTCCATACATCATTCCCACGTTGGAGGTCGGGGTCGGCGGATTATGCGAAGGAATTGAGTTTCCGCTCGGCTCCATTTTTATTGAGTTCTCGTCCAGAGTCGCCATACCATGCTGCTGTGTTTGCAGCTGCTGGGGTGGCATAGAATCGTCTGTCGCGGACGACGAACTTTGCCTCAGGCCTGAGTCCTCTTCCTCAGTCTTCACTTCCACGTCTGACTTTATCCTAGCCGATAGGGTCGCTGGGGGCGAGAAGTCTGCAGGACCAAGACTCGGTGACGGTGGTGGAGGTGAGTCAAGAGTATGTGATTCTTCTGTTGTAGTCAGTTCCTCGGGTGTTTGGCTCACATCGACGTTGTTCGTCTTTTGAGCTAGGGAAGAGCTGGCAAGCACTGGGGAACACATGTCACGCGCGGGGGATCCACTGCTCACACTGGTATACGCATTGCTGTCATTCGGGTTCGGAGGGGTGCCTTGATACATCGTAGAGCTGTAGCCCCCAGGCGAGGAGTACATACACGCGTCACTGCCTGAACTCGGCGTGCCACCGTTCCACATGCTAACGTTGCCATTGGCATTGGTCAAAGCACTATTGCTAGTATTGCTTATACTGGGAGAAGGTTTCTCCACGGGAACCGCTGCAGATTGCTTCGGCTTTGGAGGACGTCCACGACGCTTTTTCACAGCAACAACCTGACCGTCTTCCGTGACTGTGGTCGTCACCTGACTTCGTGGGGCAGGTCGCGGAGCTGGGGGTAGGCCACCATCTTCTGGGCGGATTTTCCGAGGGCGCCCGCGTTTCTTTTTCACGGGTTGGTCAACACCAGAATCGTCACGAGCGCCTTCAGATGCACCGCTTTGGTAGTTGGTGCCACTCAAATCCATGAGTGTCCCACCCTCTCCATCACAAACCTTATCCTTAACTTCTAATTTGACATCGATTCCTTTAACATCAGGAAAGATGACTTCACTCTCTTCTAAATCGGGGAGAACGCCGTTAAGGTAGTCTCGCAGTTTCCGCAGAGCAACGTAATATGGCACTTTATCAGCTGCTCTTGGTAGCTGGGCACACCGTGCGCTGGATGACGGCATGACCCAGATTATCTGTTAAAAGAAAAGAAATGCTTCTTTTCAACGAGAGACCAATGGTTTGAAGTAAATGAACAGCGGATTCTCAAGACGACAAGATGCAGGAAACAATATCGTACACCCTGAGTTGAAGACTGCTTAAAAAATCAAACATGAATGCACAATTGTTGGCTGCAATCGTTTCCTAAAATCGCTCGATGCTTCTCTCGTCAGACGGCACGAAAGTAAGCGCGTGAAATACTGAGCGCCCAAGATTGATTTCGTCTGATTCATAGGAAAATCCCTCCGCTTTCACCGCTCATTATAGTTGTACTACAGACAAGAATGAAACGAAGGCGGAATCACCTTCCATTTCGGTAACCATAACAAAGAAACAACACAGGAACTAAAATATTTCAAGATTAATGATACAAAAAGGTTTGAAATACTCACTGAATTGGTGCCTTGAACTGGCTCGGGTTGCTTTCCGAAAAGGAAATCTTTCCGTCCGGAGAAGACTTCGTAGATACCTTTCCCGTTAAAAACGACGATTTTTGGCCGAAACTTCCGAACTTTGTCCACTAATGCCGAACCACCTTCGGAAAAAAACACGGTTACATACAGTATTACTCAAACTCACAACCAGCCATTACGGCAAGCGTCTAACGGTCTACCAGGAGCGAGCGAAAAAAATTACCTTCTTTGATCTCTTTCCGTGATAAATCCTGTGAGCCTTTCGTCGGTCGTGCAACCATGTTCGTAAAACCTATCCCGTAATTGACTAGGCGGTAATCATCATCGGCAGTCATCGGCTCGGGGATTAGTCCAGACAGATGCATACATTTCCCTGAATCCACGAAACCAAATGATCGACGAACGATTTCCGAATTCAATTTTCATCTCAGTACTCACAGAAATGATTTCCTGGTCCGGCGTAATGGTGGCCTTTATAAGCCGCAAACAATCCAGGGTTGATACCAACCTGCGAACCACAGAAATATGGATACTTTCAACAAGGGGAAGAAAAAACTGGGTTCACCAGCGAAGAGAGCTAAATTAACGAAGAAAGAAGTAGTCCCATACCGATCGAGGAAAGAACTTGAAAATTTCTCCACAACGCGATTATTACGGGAAATCCGTCAAATCCAAAATGCCCTCTCAAATCGTATGGAACAAAACCGTATGGCGGTCTTGTTCCTTTCTTTATACTTTCACAAATCGAAAAGGTTATAGCAGACTCACAATAACTATATCAAGATTTGGCGCGAGGTGGTCAGGTAACGTTCGCAGCTTAACTTCATCGACAGACATTCCATTAAAGCGATCCCACTTTTTCCGCTCCTTCGCAGCCGCAGGCAAGGCTCGGATGGCAGGATTTGGGTAAAGTTCGCCACAATCATTACCAAATTCATTCACCGGCTCAGTTTTCACTTTCTTTTTTCTTCCCCGCTTTTTTGGAGCATTGAAGGGAGGTAATTCAGGTTTCGGTTTGAACTCGAGTTGCGTACTACTCCGATCACCCAAGTTCTCCTCTTCCTGAAAGTGATATGGATCCTGATCCTGAGGTTCGTTCTTGATTTGCCCTGGTATCTGCGATTGGTGCATTCCACCAGGTCCGAGGCAAACTGGAGGATGACCCATGTTGCCTTGTTGATTCATTTGTCCCATCTGCATTTGGTGTTGCGACATTTGATGGGAATACATTCCCACATTCATGTCCCCAATGTGCTGACTGGGGTCCATCTGCATATGCTGCTGATGCATGTGTTGATGGTGTTGTTGGTATGCATGCTGATTGTCAGACATGTTGCCGTAATACATCGCCTGGTCATGCTGGTACATCTGTCCAGCATTGTTCGGGTCTTGAATGTATCCCTGCTGCCCATGACCATGATTATGGCCATGATACATGCCCACCCCATCCCCCTGCCTTTCCGGAGAAACTGAATGCATCTGCTGGTGGTCCAACTGGTTTCTGCCATTGGCATCATATTCCATACTCGACATCAAATCGTCCATCATATCGTTAACAGTCTGCGTCCCTTCTCTAAACAACGAGAGACGCTTGATTAGGAACGATCACCTCGGGTGAAAAAATAAAGAAAAATCAGACCTGCAAACCTGACTTCCTGGAAGAGCCCCATCCTTTCGGGCTTCGCGAATACTTCCATTCAGAAGGTGAGTTCGCGCACATAGCTCACTATTCGACAGACCCTAATCCATCGCAAGTGAGGAACGTAATCCGGAAATGCAGAAGAGAAACATGAATGAAACGTGAACACGGTGGTCACGCCAATGGAGCAACAACTATTCAAAGCAATCACACCAGAAGCACACATTCGAAATTAACCTGAACGACCTACAATCTTTGGATATACATTACGCTATGTAATCCATATACACACTTACAGTAAACTGTACATAAGAAAGTCTCGGATTGATTGACGCAGGCTTTCATTCTATGGGAATAAAATCTCACGCGGATGTTTTGGAATTCGTCTCAACAAGATCGAAAAATGAGGATGGGCACACCAGGGAACTAATGGCCGAAATCTGAGAGCACTTCGCACAGCACTTAATTGCTCTGCAGATCTAGCATAATTAATATACTCAAGAGAGATCACACGACGCCCAACAAGAAGACAATTGGAAAAAGTGAATTCGCAGATGCATCGAATAACTTGCCCACGCAGTCCTTCATACCGCATGTGGGAAGAACAAATCATAATGAACCGTCCGACAGGAGATTTTCACGAAAATCGATTATTAAGCATCTCGGAAGCAATATTGCTTTCTGAAGTCAGATTGCGTTCGAAGTTCCGCGACACTTGTTGACCCCGAGATCTTCCGCAAAACCACCACCAGTCAGTTTTATAGAAAAAAAAGGAGAACTTGTATCGTTCGCACAATCCGCATCAATCACTCGACTGTTCCCCTGACAGTGCTTTTTAATAATATTGTACCTTTACACGAGACCCAAGAAAATTTTCGAACTGGTCTCATCAGCATAGAAAAAAGATGTCAACACAAGCATTCTAGGCTGAGGACTGCCCAGTTCCGCACACTTCCATGTAAACCTCTTTGTTTCAAGTGGTAAAAATTGCGTCAAATTTACAAGAATATTTCGAATTCAGAACATGTAGGCTGAATCTGCACTTCCGGGCGCAGCAACCGTAATTCCCTAAAAGATTTAATTCACCACCTACGAAAACTCGACGAGGCGCAACGCTCACCACACGAGCTTTCATGTACGCGGCCATAGTAACTCAACAGAAAATAAAAGTCGAGGACACTCGAAAACATGAGAGATATTACGAGGAGCTTGATTTGTCTTTTTAATTAAAAAAAAATGCGAGGAATCTTTCTGCAAATTCAGTGCAACAATTGGAATCCAGCATTTCAACCCTAGGGCAATCATATTTCAGATTTTCATAGCTAAAAAACCCAGAAAATAACTGTCATTCGTTGAACCATGGAACAGCTATATACAGTATAAGGTACTGTATATAAGCTCAGAACATGGAAATGGGTAACGAAACAGTTATAATCATGGGTGATATTGACACAAGCTTACCTGGATGATAATCTGAAACTGAGCATGAGGTTATTTCAATGAGGTTTCCGCCCATTCACAACCAATATAACAAACAAGCTAGGGCAAAAATGTACAAAGTACACAAAATGGTGGGTGTTAAAATTAAACCGCGGATACATTTTACAAGTATTGTACTTGAATATTTCTTGATTTTAACAAATAATTTATTGTTGTACAGTAGTGCTGTATGCATGCTGGTGGTGTTCCCCAACTATGACAAAATATGCTACGGCTTACATATATTCAGTATCCTCATGAGGTTTTATATACAGTATATCCTCCATGTTTTCCGTCATCACATTTCTTCTGCATTTCTCCCTGTATTTTGGGACAATCTTTGCTTCCTAGGTCATCAACAGATAAATAGCTATTTTAAAATTTTATCGCACAGGCTCAATTTTAAAAGATGAGCGACTGATGCTGCACTGCATACTGTATATAGAACACGTACTTAACGAAATTCATCTTTTCGGAAATATCGAAGAAATATATACGGTCGCTGAAAAAATGTCACAACTCACGAAAATTCCGGGAACATGCTGAAGAGCAAGGCCATTCGATCGAGGAAAAACATGCTCGCCAGAATTGGCCCTTCGATGGTCAGGCGCATGCTGTGAGGTGCAGTGTTGAAATGATCTTCATCCGGGCCTTGACTAACATGATGCCCATCGCTCCACCGTGCCGGGAATCGCAAACCTCTGCCAAAAAGCAATGATTCGTATATGACTAACAACGATTCTCACAGAGCGTCAAAACATATACCGCTCATTCCTCAATATAGAAGAGTGATTCTCCGCGTCACAAAATGTATGTTGCATGCTTGAAAAGTGTTCGCAGCTGCACTGCTATCGAAGAGAATTCAATAAAATTACCGCACTGATCGCGAGAAAGAAAATCGGAATTGAAAACGAAGTTTAGATACACCTGTCTGCAAAAATCGTCGTAGAACACATTGGTGATCGAACTCTACTGCCCCTCAAAAGTGACTGAGGCAAATAAAGAGCGTGATCAGAACTGCGTCTGTGTGTGTCATTCCGGAAATGTTCCACCAAAATACCGTCATGCAAAGAGAGTATTTCAAAATTGCACTGATTTGTGTCACACATGACGAATTTGACGATCGCGAAATTGTTCATAAAAACACCTCATTTTTGAAACAAATACATTTCCACGCTTTCTAAGACCACTCATGAAGGACAATATTTGCATTAAAAACATCTGTTTTCTGCAACAACATACAACAAATCACTCACCGCTGTGCGATACTGAACATTACTCGCAAAATTAACAATGGGAAGGAGCCTAATATATAACTGCGGATACGCGGCTCTCAAAATGTACTTCGTTCGAAAATTTGAACACACAATTCACAGACTAATTGTGGTCTGGTCGACGAATCACAGTACAGTACCTTCAAAAAATGAAAACCTCCAAAATAGTTTCAATACAAAATGTTCTTCTCAGCGCATGCTGAGGAGAACATCAACCTTTTTTCAAAAATGTACAGAAACATGATACACTATACTACATTAATCCACTTCGCAATAATGCATGATGAACATCCGTGAAGACCGAAATTAAAAGGAAGGTAAATCCTCTCTACGAGATTTTCTGTAAAGTATATCTTATGGACAAGTGATTCACTATAAGAGACAAAACTCGCACACTTCATGCACTGGACTACATGCGCGATACAATAACGTTGAAAACTTTGAACAGGCGTCGTCACAAACCCAGTTGTTCCTTCTTGACAATTCTGAGCTAAATGAGTCCTTCCATCATGGCTGCAGTTCCAAAGTATTGTACCAGCTCAGTTGCCTTGATTGGCCAAAGAAATCAATCGAGTATGCTGTGCAGTGGAAAGCCAGTGGGCCTATTCCAAACCCGCGGAGCGAAACTCCGCGGTGAAAACTCATGGCAATTCATTCCCTGGAATTTACAAGGGAATTCTTGGGTAATTTTCAAAGAAACGTTACTCCCGCAGAAAAAATAATAATATGCGGAAATGCATTTTCGTATGTTCTAGGATTTCAGCGTTTATTATTTTTACATTTTACTTGCCGATTCCCTGCTCGAAGATGAACAAAATCAATGAGTGGAATGGACCAGAAATTCGAACCACGAAGACGTGAACGTCCGCGATCCCTCGCCTCGTTTCCGTTTCCAACTCAAAATCTGATCTGAAAATAATTGCCGCGCGGTATATAACCTTTGCGGTATCATAATAATTAGTATGTTATTCATGATTGTTTTGGCATTCAATATCAACGGTTTCTAGAATTTTCATCATTCAAAGAAAATTTCGCACATACAGTATTATCATCTACACTTCGCGCTCCCATCGCTGCAAAACGTCGTTCCTCATTAAAAAAAAAACAACAACAAAAATATCTGATGCTGCCTAGTAAGCAGCAGAAAATTTGAAATCTCTGGGACACATTTACTGTACAGTATACAGTTGTGAGAAATAAAAATGTTGTAAGCTTCTTGTGCAGCACTACTTGGCTGAGTTTTGGAAGACGGTGAGGGAATTGCGTTTCTTGAAGAGCGACATCTAGATAGATAAAAGGTTATAGTCGAGATTAACTTATCTTCTCGTCCCCAGGGATGAGTTTGACACGTTCACGAAAGGTAAACAAGAATTCCTGGAACGACTAATTGCATCATGAATGAGACAATTTAATTTGTCTACTAATATGCTGTACCATTGTTTCCGGAGTCAGTAATCAAGCTTTTCAACTCAAAGAAGCGAGGGATTCCAGGATGCGTCCTAGTAATACCTCCATGAACATTCCCTTGCGCGCACTTCCCCAGTTTAACTTTGATGTCGCACGAACTTCCTGTAACGTACAGCATATGCATATCGGCGACAGCTCTGGATGCATATTTCTTGGCAGACACATATGGTTGGCAATCTTTGAACAGAAGCAGAAGTTTGAAAAGGCCCCAATACTTTTTTTCTCGCGGGTTTGATGCACCAAAAAATGAAAAAACCGAGAATTAATTAATTAAAAAATAAATTAATTTAGTGAAAAATATTCTTGAATTATTTTATGTACCAAAGAAATCGGAATCTTCAAGCAACAGCAGAAGCTTTGGAAAGGCCTGAATGATTATTTTTCTCGAAGAGTTGATCCCACTCACATGATGCATCAGCAATTTTTAAAAAGAAACAGAGGGGAGAAATTGATTTTGTGAAAAATACTTGATTGATATTACGGTATGTACGGAAAAAAAATCGGAAAACTGTATAATATTACACATTGCTCATTAAATCCAAATTTTTATGTTCTACACTTCTGTAGTTCCACAATGTCTTTATATAGTGCATGAAAGTCATACGTTTTTTGAAAAAGTACCGCATTACGTTATTTATCTTTGAGATGAAACTTGAAGGCAATTGTAAAACGTTTACAGATACGATTAC